CGAGGTAGAAATCGTGGCTCCTGGGGGCACAGTTCTATGGGTAAGGGAAACTCTAATGAGTTACACCACGGAATTTGTGAAGAGCGGCGCTATATCGAGTCTAATTAGTAACCTCTCGTAACCGGGGTCCTTTGGCACAGTTGGTATGACACTTGCGTCGTATTGTAACGGTTCGGGTTCAATTCACGGTAGTGGCATGCGCACTGCTGATGAGTCCCAAATATAGGACGAAACGGCCGTCCAGTGCTTCCTGCATTCTGTTGAGGTTTCTTCTAGACTCGATAAATTACTTAATTATGATTATCTCAAATCCTTCTAATAATTTCTATCACACGTATATATATATATATATATATATATATATATATATATATATCGGCTCTTTATTTATAATAAATGCAAAAATAATGCTTTGTGTTCCTCGCCTCTGATAAGGTGATGTAATTTATGCCGCCCACCCAACCCCCGTTCGCATTTAATTTACACACAGAGTTGTCTATCATTCGGACCTGAAGAACTCAAGACTAACAGACGTCGGCGAAACGCGTCGTTTGTAGCAATTCCTCAATCACACAGACATATATATATATATATATATATATATATATATATATAAAGCAGTGTATATGTTTGCTTATATGAATACACACGAATTCGGTAATCGCATAAAAGAGGGAAAAATCGAATGTTTTGAGAATGACGACGTGATACACGCGAAATATCTTTGACCATTATTTACATTATTCGGACCATTGTCCTCATCTTTGTCGCCATATTTACCACAACGTTTCGGCCGTTGTACGCTCCGGCCTTCTTCAGGTGGTTGAAATGTCGAACTGAACCCTTTATTTCGCTCACTGATGTAGACTGTTCTAGTTCCACGTACCATGTTTGATGGATCTCAATTATCAGTTATCTCCTGTTAATTTCCCTTTGAAAGTTCTCCTTAAGCAGGTATTGAACTCACACTCTTTGGGTCCTGTCACTGGATCTAACTAACGCCTTTATCCACTGTACCATGTTTTCGGTATATCAGGTCCGTAACGATCCTTCAGTAAACATGGCACGTGGAACTACATTCCAACCACCTGAAGAAGGCCGGAGCGTACAGCGGCCGAAACGTTGTAATAAACCAGTACATAATACCTTATCTCAGAAATATAAACAGATTTTTGACCATCTTGACAGGTTGTCATATTTAAACTATACCGTAATTATTGTATTATATAAAAAAAATTATAAACTTTGTAATTTATTTTTAAAAAGAATAGCCGATGTGCAGTCTGACCTTTTTAATCCGGTAACATCTATAGACCGATACTTTTAATTAATCAGTCGCCATTACTTCTTTGATCGGCTACGAAGACAGCATCACAACTTTTCCCATCCAGAGATACATGATCGCTTAAGCGTGTATCACGCATGGAACATATCTGACTGACTGACCCTTGGGAAAGGTATGAATCTTCTTCTTCTTCCCCCCAGCTATGGGTAATTGGCAGAAAAAAACCGGGTTCTATAGCCTTGAATGGCAACTGGTCTACTGCAGAAAGAAACGGCAACCTACTGCGGGAAAAATCTGCCTCGTCAGTCATGATGATATATGATCACCTAAGTGTGTACCACGCAAGGCACATGATTCAATTATTGATTTATTACCTGTTTTAAGCTTTGTTCTAACTTTGATAACACTGTATATATATATATATATATATATATATATATATATATATATATATATATATATATATATATATATTATAAAACAGACACACTTTAAGGTTCCATTATAAGGTCTCTGGTGAAATAAATTATTATAATGGAACCTTAAAGTGGTCTGTTTTTTTTTAAAAATTAGCTCTGGATTTACATTGAGATCTCAGGATTTCATCCTCCTTGGGACTACCCATACGGATTATCAAGTTCTTCATAACTTAACTATATATATATATATATATATATATATATATATATATATATATATATATGTGTGTGTGTGTGTGTGTGTGTGTGTGTGTATGTGTATGTGTGTGTGTGTGTGTGTGTGTGTGGAATGAGCTAGCAAGACAATACTTATATAGAATTTTTTTAAGGGTGATTTCTGTCATCCGGTATGTTCCGTTGTCCGGCCATGAGTGCCGGATTAAAGAAGTCGGACTGTAATTGCAAGTATTGTTCGGTCGATTCATCTCCTCTTTCTGCTATATATATATATATATTTTTTTTGTAGGATGAGGCGTACACTAACCTCACAGAAAAATGTCAAGAAATTGTGGACTTCAACACGGTACCGGTCTCTTTGCTCAACTGGGAAAGAACTGGAGATCATAATCTTGTACAAAAATTATGGAATCCCTTTTCTTTAACGAGTCACTGAAAATGGAATCGTCTGTATGGCAGATGTTTCTGGGAATGAATAGAACCGGCCGACATATTTCCAACTATTTTCTTTTTTTTTTTTTTTCGTCTGCTTGTTGCAATTTTCTTGGGAAAATGAAAAAACGATCCTGATATTCCAGACGAAGGCTGAAGAAGGGACCGGTCAAAACGCTGTAGAAACAACAAAACAGGTTAAAAGAAAAAAAGGAAAAAAAAAGAAAAAAAAACCAGATCAGTCGTCCGAAGATTTCTCGGAAGAGTTATTTGTTATGAGTCGATAATTTTAGAAGATAATAACAACAACGACAACAACATTAACAACTAAAACAACAGCAATAATAGCAAAAACAACAGCAATAATAATAAAAATAAATTAAAACAGAACAAAAAAAAAAAAAAAACATGATTATATAAACAAAGAAAAAAAAAACAGAAAAAGAAATGTAAATTATCTGAAAAAAAGGGCCCAGTAATTTTTTTTTTTTGATTTTGATTAAAGAATTCAAAGAATAATTAAAAAAAAAACATTGTGGCAAGAACGATGAAAGAAAGAAAGATAGAAAGAAAACAAGAAAGAAAGAGAACTAGAAAAAAAAAGAAATAGACAATATTAAAATTAGAAAGAAAGAGAAAAAGAAAGAAAGAAAGAGAGGTAATGAAAGAAATTTGAAAGAGAGAGAGAGTGAAAGAGAGTGAGAAAGAGAGAGAGAGAGGGGGGATTAGACTAAGAAAAATAATAGAAATAGAAATAAGTGAAATAGAGAAAATTAATATTAGAAAGAAAGAAAGAAGTAGAAAAAAAAAGAAAGAAATAAGCAAAGTAAGGAAGAAAGGGGGGGAGAAGGAATGAAAGAGAAGCAGTGGAAAGAAAGTGAAGGAATGAAAGAGTTTTGAAAGAGAGAGAGAGAAAGAGAGAGAGAGAGATACAGACAAAGGAAAGAGAGAGAGAAAAAGAGAGAAAGAGAGAGAGAGAGATACAGACAGAGAGAAGGAATGAAAGAAAGTAAAATAATAGATGTAAAATAGACAAAATTAATATTCCAAAAAAGAAAGAAAGAAAGGAGAAAAATAAATAAATAAGGAAAGAGAGAGAGAGAGAGAGAGAAGGGAAGAGAGAGGGGGAGAGAAGAGAAGAGAAGAGAAGAGAGGGGTGGAGAGGGAGAAAGAGTGAGAAGGGAAGAAAGGGACGGGAGAGTGTGTGAGAAAGAGAGAGAGAGGGGGGAAAGAGATAGGGAGAGAGAGGGATGAAGAGAGAGTGATAAAAAAGGGAGAGAGAAGTGATGGAGAGGGAGAGAGAGGGAGGGGAGAGGGATGGAGAAAGGGAGAGAGAGGGTGAGAGACGGATGGAGAGGAAGAGAGAGAGAGAGAGAGAGAGAGTGAGAAGCGGGAGAGAGGAAGAGGGTGAGAGGGAGAGAGAGGGAGGGGAGAGGGAGGGAAAGGAGAAAAGTATCAGTGAAAAGGAAAGAGAAAGAGAGAGAGAGGAGAAGGGAAAGGAAGAGAAAAGAGGGAGAGAGAGGGAAAGAAATGGAGAAAGGAGAGAATGAAAAGAAAGAGAAAAAGAGAGAGAAAGAAAGAAAGCGGGAAAGAGGGAAGAGGGTGAAGGAGAGATAGAGAGTAGGGACGAAAAAGTATCAGTGAAAAGAAACAGAAAGCAGTGAGATTTGATTGAAATAAAGAGAAAAAGCTCAAAGAAGAAAGAAATAGAAAGTGAAAATTAAAAAGAAAGAGAAAAGAAAGAGAAAAGAAAGAAAGAAAGAAAGAAAGAAAGTGAAGGACTGAAAGAGATTTGAAAGCAAGAGAGAGAGAGAGAGAGAGAGAAAGAGAGGGAGAGAAAGAATGAAAGAAAGAAAATAATAGTGGTAAAATAGACAAAATTAAGATTAGAAAGAAAGAAAGAAAGAAATAAAGAAAGAGAAAAAGAATAAAATAAAGAAAGAGAGGGAGAAAAGGGAAAAAAAAAAGAAAAGGCAACAATGAAATGAAAGAAAGAAAAATAAAAGAAAAGAACAAAAGAAAGAAAAATTATAGATGTAAGAGACAAAATTGGAAAAAAGCATGAAAAAAAGAAAAAAATAAATAAATAAAGGAAGAAAGAAAGAAAGAAAGAAAGAAAGAAAGAAAGAAAGATCGATAGAGTTTCAAAGGAATACGACAAAAAACGAAAAGAAAAAGAGAGTTGAAAGAAAGGAAAGAAAGAAAAAAAGAAAGAAAGAAGAAAGAAAGGGACAATAAATAAAAATACGATAGGGAACAGACAATAATAAAACTGAAAAGAAAGAGAAGGAAAGAAAGACTATTAGAAGAGAAAATGCGATAAAATAGCATTTGAAGAAGAGAGAGTGAGAGTGAGAGAGAGGGAGAGGGAGAGAGAGAGAGTGAATGAACGAAAGACAGAAAAACAGAGAAAGAAAACGTGGAAAAAAATAAAAAATAAATTAATTATAAAACATTAGAAAGAAAGAAAGAAAGAAAGAAAAATAACTGAGAAGAAAAACAAACAACATTAAAGTCAGAAAGAAAAAGAAAAAAAGAAAAAATAACAAAAAAAATGAAAGAAAGACAGAAAGAATTAAAGAGAAGAAATAAAAAGGAAAGAAAGGAAGAAAGAAAGAATATCAGTGTCAAAAAATAGTAAGCATTAAAATCTGAATGATAGAGAGAGAGAGAAAGCGGAAAGAAAGAAAGAAAGAAAGAAAGAAAAAGAAATGAAGAACAAGAACGGAAGAAAGAAAAAGAGAGCGAGTGGGTGAAAAGAAGAGATGAAAGGGACGAAAGAAAGAGAGAGTAAAAAAGAACGAGAGAAAGGAAGGGAGTGAATGGAAGAAAAAAGACAAAGAAAGAAAAGACGAAAGAAACAATGAGAGAGAGAGAGAGAGAGAAAGAAAGAAAGAAAGAAAGAAAGAAAGGGTATCAGTGAGCAAAAAAGAAAGTATTAACGAGTAAAGAAATAGAAAATAATGAACTCATATGAACGAAAGAAAGAGAAGAACGAAAAGAAAATTTGAAACAGAGAGAGAGAGAGAGAGAGAGAGAAAGAGAGAGAGAGAGAGAGAAAGAGAAAGGAAAAGGGAATGAATGAGATGAAAAAAAACTGGAAAGAAAGAATATTAAAATATGGCATAAGAAAGATGGCAATATGTTTTATTCTTCCTTTTTTTTATTTTCACTTTCACTGAAAAAAAACATGAAGAATTCTGAGAAGTTATTGATGCTAAATAAACACTAAAATTTCCAAAAATTACCAAAATGTGAACTGGAATCTATGAATATTTTTGTTCTAAAGTGTGTATTTAATTTACCCGTATGTTATTTGAATTAATAAATTTAATACACTTAATCGATTTGTTTTGTTTACACGTTTGTTTACCTTTTTATTCTTTTTCACTATTTCTATTGGATTACTGTTCAACTTATTGACGTGTTCCACATAAGCATCGAAAAGGATTAGCAGATCCAGTGTGGAAATAAGTATCCATTTAGAGCCACGGGTCAAAATCATTCGACACTTTAAAGAAAGCTGAAGTGTTTCGTTCGTAAGCAAAATTCGCTTGAGGATGAAATAAAACTAATGTTTTTAATGTAATTACAAAATTAAATGTAAAGTTTTTAGCTTCCATTTTTGAAACATGCTTATTACTATGTAGTGAATTTTTTTTTTAAATCAGTTAATTTTATATATATATATATATATATATATATATATATATATATATATATATATATATATATTACATGAATCATTCATACAAAACAAACAGATGTAGAAGTTAATGATTTAAATGGTGAGAATACATCTTCGCAAATAAATTTGATAAAGTAAATTAACCCCGAACCTGTAGATGAATGTTATGATCCCTGTTTATAAATTCCTGTTGCATAAGGTCTTTTTTTAGATTTTACAAGCTTTCATCTGTGCATACAGACACCATCAGGTATGGAAATAAATAACTGTGACATTCCTTTATTTATTGAACAATTTAGTTTGACTGAAAAACCTACCAGTACAAAAGAATTCTCCTATTACCATATTAGTACAAAAACGCACAATCTTAAAATTTAAAAATTCAACCTCAGTGTTGCGACCGCACGCTCCCAAAAAATTTCTTACAATTAACAATAACACATTTCTAAAAACATATTTTGGATTACATCTATTCTTTCGTTGTCCTGTTATTACCGGGAAGTAAAAAAACAAAAACAAATCTATTTCTATACCTGATGATGTCTGTCTGAACAGACGAAAGCTTGTAATATTTGATATATATATATATATATATATATATATATATATATATATATATATATATATATATATATATATATATATATATATATATATATATATATATATATATCCAATATATGTATATATATATATATATATATATATATATATATATATATATATATATATATATCCTGGTAAGATGAGAACGAATAGAGCACTATTCTAACGTTCGTAACATTTAATTTAAAAGAGGGCTCAATACAAAATAGAGCAATATTTTTATTTTAGATATTACATCGAAAAATATAATAATCGCTACAGAATTGCAGTCGTGTTTCATCGTATATCAACGCAACTCACAGGCAATTGTAAATTACTCGAGCAATTTACAATCACCTGATGAGTAGCGTTGATAAGCATCGAAACACGAGTAGTAATTATGTTGCGATTTTGACATGTTTTTCGATGTAATACCCTAAATTAAAAGTATATATATATATATATATATATATATATATATATATATATATATAGTTCCTGAGGAGGGCTAATTGGGCCTCTGGCCCAAAACTAGAGAAATCTCTGTTCCAGCTTAGAAAACAGCAATGATAATTTTGAAGAAATAACGTTGAATTCCTCAATTCACTTCATGGAATTTCAAAACCTAACTTTAACTCTGATTCGGGCTGTAAGTCCAGTTCCCGCCAAAAGACCGATTTGGGCCTGTTGTTGCATGACTATGGACTATAGTGAACTGAAGATATAATTATTCATTGAAATGAACACTAAGATAAATTTGTTGCAAAAACATATGTTGGAAATATATTTGTTTTTTGTATGAATGATTCATGAATTTATAAATTATAATTTGCACCTTTAATTGAAATTAAAATAACTGATCCAACGTGCAACTTTTGGATAATAAGTGCGACATTACTGTAATTATTGAACTATATAGTTCATGCCACATAGACTGAAAATCTACCAGTAAAAAAGAATTCATTTTTGTACAAAAATCACAACCTTAAGATTTAAATTCAAACTCAGTGTTGCGACCGCACGTTCCAAAACAATAACACATTTCTCATAGCATTTTTTCGGATTACATCTCTATTTGCATTGTCGTTACCGAGAAGTAAAAACAAGAACAAAATCTACTTCCATACCTGAGGATGTCTGTAGGAACAGACGAAAGCTTGTAAATACTAAAAAAGACATTATGAAACTGGAATTTATAAACAGGGATCATATCATTCATATACAGATTCGGGGTTAGTGTACCTTATTGAAATTGTTTGCGAAGATGTATTCTCGCCATTTAAATCATTAACCTCTATATTTGTTTTTTTGTATGAATGATTCATGAATTTATAAATTATAATTTGCACCTTTAATGAAAATTGTAGATGAAATGCACAAATACAATAATAAAGAACGGTTTTATGCATTAAAATAGCCATGATATATTTTCATAAATAGAAAGATATTAGCTAAAATTATAATTACATGACTGAAAGAGTAATAATATTATATATATTGTTGTAGCATACCTACGGACGATGATGAGTATGTCTCAATACACATAAATACAATAATAAATACTGTATGCTGGTCTGCAGTTTGAGATTCGTCTCCAGCTGTGCTGATAAAACTCTCTGCCTCCGGGCAGAAAGGATCCCCAGACGAGGCCATGTCGAAGGGCAGAGTCTCGTCTCGGAAAACATCTACCCGATCCCGTTTCATACGGGGGTCCACGGGGAATTTTTGGCCGAGCCAACGGGATCGGGTACCCCATATTAAATTCGGCCTTGTGACCGCGTGGGGTGGTTGGTAGATATTCTGCAGTTGGAGATACGTCTCCAGCTGTGCTGGTCAAACTCTCTGCCTCCGGGCAGAGAGGATCCCCAGACAGGGCTATATCGAAGGGCAGAGTATCGTCTCGGGAAACGCTGGGTAGATATCCTGCAGTTGGAGAGTCATTGTGGAATTCACTTGATTCACTTGATTCACTTCTACCAGTTGACGACTTCTTCTACGCGCCGCTGGCGAATCTTATATGCGTTGTTCGTGTCCTAGGTATTATCGTGCACTACCAACCTTCGTTTGGTTATTCTATTCAGTAACCTTCCTTACGTTACAACGGGGCTGAAAGTCCAATTTGGGCAGAAAATTCAATTCAGGTCGAAAACTGAGTTCTTCAAATCATACATTCTGTGGAACTTCAAAACCTCATGTCCCGAAACGTCTCACTTTAACTCCAATTCCTTGGCATTTTAAAGAAACAAAATTGATTTCCTCAATTCCCAAAGTTTGGGAGATATTTTAAACGGAATTTAAATCGAAACTTTTTAAATACACAAAGTTTTACTCAATCTAAATTAAAACTTTTAAAATCACTATTTTTTTCCAGTTACTTTAAAATTTAAATTTTTAACTGTTCCTTCCTCATCCAGACACAAATCCCAATGCTGGATGTTCAAGCACTAGTTAAAGGATAGATTTTCAATCTCGGAATCATCCTGACTCCAGAAAGGAATGCATATGTAGAGCAAGTGTGGCCCAGATTAGAGAAGGTTTCAGACACACGGACGGACAGACAGAATTTGCCTTTTATTTATTTAGATTAACGATTATACATTATGAAATGAGCAAAGTTCGACAATTATTTTAAAACATTTTTATGTTTATGCATTCTTTTTATTGATACAAAATATATGCATGTCCGAGAAATTTTCACAGAAAATATTTGTCCTCCGACAGGAATCGAACTTGTAACCTATACGGAACCATCATTTAGCTTAACGTGCCTTTAACCGATTTGGCACAGAGGAGGAGCAAGGTCGACTGTTTTTTAGCAAGGTCCATGATTTACTCGTTTTTAGACTCATGGCGTATCTAAAAATGACCATTTTAAACAAAGTCAATTATTTTAAGACATTTATATCTTTTTATGCGTATTCAAGTAAATGCAAATTTTATAATAAACAGTTAATTTTGAATCCATCGAAAAATGGACAAAGAATCAGACAGTGACAATAATTTTAAGACATTTTTATGTTTATACATTCTTTTATAGATACAAAATATTTAAGTAAATGCTCTGTTTTATAATAAAGGACATGTTTTTACAAAAAGCTATATATTAGGGCATATGGTTCCGTATGATACAGGTTCGATTCCTGTCGGAGGGTTCATATTTTCATGAAATTTTCAGACATTCAGGCCGGTAAATGTTTAATACTGTTTATTATAAACAGAGCATTTATTTAAATATTTGTATCTATAAAAAGAATACCCCGTCTCGGCCGGTGGCTAGGATCAAAGTGTTTTATGTGAGCTGCCGAGCCTGGTGTCTGTCGAACTCTGCTTGCAGAGGAACCCGGACGAGGCTCGCCGAAGGGTTTTCGGGAGATGACGGAACTAAAGATGGGTTTTATTTTGGCTGGGCCTACGGGCCAGAGACATACCCCATTAAAAAGGTTTTGCCCACATTCAATCTTCTGTGGGTGAATTGATAAATACCATCTATAAAAAAGAATACCTGCTCGGCCCGGTGGCTGGGATCAAAAGTGTAGTATCTGTGCTTTGTGAGCTGCCGAGCTGGTAGTTCGTCGAACATGCTTTTAGAGAGGAAAAAGTTCCGCCGAAGGGTGGGGTTTCGTTTTGACGGAACAGCCCGTTTGGCGGGTTTAGATGGTTTTTATTTTTTGGCTGGGTTCAGACATATCCACATTAAAAGGGCCACATTCAATTCCTGTGGGTGAATTGATAAATACCATCTATAAAAAGAATACCCGCTCGGCCCGGGTGGCTAGGATCAAAGTGTAGATCTTTGGAGCTGCCGAGAACCGGATGCGAATATTTCGGGGAGGTTCGAACTCTGCTTGCTTAGATGGGTTTGAACGGGCTCGGAGGACCACATTAAAAACGCTATTCATAAAAACGAGCTCGGCCCTTAGGAAGGGAGAGCCGGGTGTTTCATTCAGGAAGTTGACGGTGAAATATTGTTTGACGGAATCCAGGCCCGCTTGGACGGGTTTAGATGGGTTTTATAAACAGGGCATTTACATTAAATATTTGTATCTATAAAAAGAATGATAAATAAACTATAAAAAAGAATAAACCCGCTCGGCCCGGTGGCTAGGATTATATCTAGGGAGCTGCCAGCTGGTGTGTCGAATCCTGAGATTGAGACCGGACGAGGCTCCGCCGAAGGGTGGGGGTTTCGTTCGGGGGAGGTTGACGGAACTAGCCTGCTTGGACGTTGGTTTAAGTCCATCTAGTGCCATTTTCCTTTTAAAAAGAATACCCGCTTGGTAGGATCAAAGTGTAATCTTTGAGCTGCCAGCCGGGTGTGTCGAATTTGCAGAGAGGAACCCGGACGAGCCATCTGAGAACCAGCCTGCTTGGACGGGTTTCCTGGGTTCTCTTTGACTGTTGGGATCTATAAAAAGAATACCCGCTCGGCCCGGTGGCTAGGATCAAAGTGTAGTACAATTGAGAAGTCGAATCAGAAAGGAATGACGAGGCTCCGCTGAAGGGTGGGGTTTCCTGACGGAGCCCTCTGAACGGGTTTAGATGGTTTTATTTTTTGATAAGCATACCCACATTAAAAAAAAGGCCTTTGCCACATTCAATTCCTGTGGGTTTACCATTTCGGCCCGGTGGCTAGGATACTGCGCTTTGGAGCTGCCGAGCCGGGTGTCTGTCGAACTCTCTGCTTGCAGAGAGAACCTGACGAGCCGAAGGGTGGGGTTTATAGTAGCACTTGACGGGTTTAGATGGGTTTTATTTTTGTTCATTGACGCCACATTCAATTCCTGTGGGTGAATTGATAAATACCATCTATAAAAAGGATCAAAATAGTGATGTCATCCATGAAGGGGATTTATTTTTCTGGGACCAGTGGAACTAGCCATCTGAGGAAGGGACATTTTTTCCTTATTAATTACCCATGAAAAGGCCTTGTGTTCAATAGCCTGCAGGGTTCATTGACGCTAACCTTAGCCAGGATCAAAATATGAGTCCAAGAATATATATATATATATATATATATATATATATATATATATATATATATATATATATATATAATTATACTGTCTGAAAACCTTAAGTGTTTTGAAGAAACCAATACCATAGAAAAATAAGGGATAAAAAAGAAAGAACTAAGAACATGTAATTTAAGTGAAAACAATCGTCCAGAATCCAAAGAAAAAAAACTATAAAAAAACCAGTAAAGCAAAAGTAACCAAGTAAAGTGCTCAATACGCTAAGTAAAGCAAATCTAACTATGAACCTAAAGAGTCAAGCAAACCTACCTAGGTTTCACCTGTATGGATCGTCAGATATATATATATATATATATATATATATATATATATATATATATAATACATGAACCTAAAGAGCCAGGCAAACCTACCTAGGTTTACCATGACGATCCACGTAGGTGAAACCTAGGTAGGTTTGCCTAGTTCTTTTAGGTTTATATATATACATATATATATATATATATATATATATATATATATATATATATATATATATATGAAAAGAAGTGGAGAAATTTCACACATCCCATCATGATGCCACCCTCGAGGGTTTGCCATTTACTGATATAGTTACCAACGGTGAAGTGCATAAACATTGCTCTGAAATATTTCATTATCACTTCCTAGGGAAAACTGAAAGATTTTCTAGGAACATTTGAATTAGCTCATGAGGAACTGATCTCAATGCATTTGTGAGATCAAGCCAAATTACATGAAGTTCAATCTTATTTTTTGGGATGATAGGATTGAGTTCCAAATCAAGTGCTTATTATCCAGACAGCTGGGGAAGCCAGGTATCCCAGTCTTCTGGACAGCTGTATTTATATAATGCTTACCTA